ACATGAGCCGACAGTGTGCCCAGGCGGCCAAGAAGGCCAACGGCATCCTGGCCTGTATCAGAAATAGTGTGGCCAGCAGGAGCAGGGAAGTGATAGTGCCCCTGTACTCAGCACTGGTGCGGCCGCCCCTCGAATACTGTGTTCAGTTTTGGGCCCCTCACTACAAGAAGGATGTTGAGATGTTGGAACGTGTCCAGAGAAGGGCAACGAGGCTGGTGAGGGGTCTGGAGAACAAGTCTTATGAGGAGCGGCTGGGGGAGCTGGGGTTGTTTAGCCTGGAGAAAAGGAGGCTGAGGGGAGACCTCATTGCTCTCTACAACTACCTGAAAGGAGGTTGTAGCGAGGTGGGTGTCGGTCTCTTCTCCCAAGTAACTGGCAAAAGGATGAGAGGAAATGGCCTCAGGTTGCGCCAGGGGAGGTTTAGATTGGATGTAAGGAAAAATTTCTTTACTGAAAGAGTGGTTAAACATTGGAACAGGCTGCCCAGGGAAGTGGTTGAGTCACCATCTCTGGAGGTATTTAAAAGACGTGTAGATGATGCGGTTAGGGACATGGTTTAGTGGGCATGGGGGTGTTGGGTTGATGGTTGGACTCGATGATCTTAGAGGTCTTTTCTGTCCTTAATGATTCTATGATTCTATATCAGGATTGAAGTAAAGAAAGTACTTTGCATATGCAAAGGTGCAGCTGATTCCAGAACATCTTAAAGTATATAACAGTTTGCAAGTTTGAAAATGTGTTGGTTTTAGTCATTCAAAGAAACTAATTGTAGAGAAAACCTGATTTAAATCTACGAAGTCTTGTTTGAAAAGGCTGGATAAATTGATTTGTAGTATAGTAGACTACCAGAGAGACTGATTAATCTCTCTTCCGTTCCACATGATTATACATATTAAGATTATAATTTAGGAAGTATTTGTGTAGTCCTGTTACTCCTATGAACTTCTGCCACGTGCTTTTCTGCTTTCCTGTTTGTGTACCAGCTTCCTTTTTTTAGCCATTTTTTAACGTTTGGTTTCGTGAATGCATTTATGTGGTCTATCAATACCAAGCACATTTTCTTTTATTCTGCTTTGATGTAAAGAGACTGAAAATATGGGTGGAATATTTATCAGAAAACTACAAAAGACTATTTCTGGACTGGTTTTGTGACAGCAGAAATCCCAGTCTCCTACGTTCTTGGTCCAGCTGGAAGGTTTGAGTATCAGAACAACAAAAATGTTGTACTTTGTAGTATGACAGTTTTTTATTGCATCAGATATGGGAACAGTACCCTGCATGCTGTCTTCAAGACTGACAAGTGTCAGATTTTTCTGGGAAGTGTTCGAACCTTGTAACGATGAAGTAAGGCAACTGCTGACTCCTTCCAGTTTTGATTGATACATTACATGAAAAATTGTATCTTTTTATAAAGTTCGTGTTGATTGTGAACATGTAACTGTCCTAAGTCTTCATACATATGCCTATTCCTTACTTGAGCTGTTTCAGGCTGTTTCATACTACCTTCCGTGATTCACAGAATACACAGGCTGAATGGTCTTCTGTGCTAATCTTAAAGTAGGCAGTAGTTCCTCCAGCCTTTGTTTTGCCTTTGTTGTCTTTTTGAAAATTCCATAGACTATCCTTTCATAGACTGTGTTGTTCCTCAAAATGGCATTAGGAATGGCTTGCTGCAGTATGAGCTCTAAAAACATTGTAAGAGTCTAGATTGCTC